ATACTAATCAGTATTTGCATAATATTTTTACAATGAAAATTATTTGCGGTGGCAAAATATCTAATCATACCTCATTATGTTTATTACATACGAAGACATTGCTAAGAAATACACCCAAGTAGCACATAAATGTTTATTCAATATTTTTAAAATATTAAAACATTTATGTGTAAAACGTTTTATAAAAATAATATTTAATAAACATTTTTAAAACATGTTATTTCAAGTATTTATCAATAAACATTTTTTTAATGTTTTAAATATGTTATTTGATAAACATAATATTATTTAGAAAAATATTTTTTACTACTTTTATTATGTTTTACACAAAAATGTTTTATTTAATAATTATAAAAAAATATAAATTATATGTGTAATATTTTTAATTTATTATATATTATAAATAAATATGTTATATATATATATAATGTAAATATAGCTTATCATTATCATGCTTGATCGCATACGCTTATATATATAATAATATAATATACACACATATGGCATTTTTTAGGTATATTCGTAATTCAATATAATATATAATAACTCTTAATTCCCAAGTAGGTCTACTTGATCGAAATAATTAATGTATTAGCTAGGTATATATTTTATATATTTTAGCTAACTTTATTAGTCGACGGATGATATATATATACCCAACCAAGAATATATAAACGTATTTTTTAAATCTTAAATATAACGATGTGAGACCCTATATAGACCCATTATGTATATATTATATATACGTGATTATATTGTCCGCGGTCGTCGAAGTTGAACGCATAAACTATACTAACTACAAGCTATTTTTGTTATTACGCTAGATATATGAAAAATAATCGAGTGTACGTCAATTTATTTATTATTTTATTATATAGTGTGACCAATTTACCATATCTTCGCGTTCGTACTGTCGTAGTAGTTACTTACAATCACGAATTAAGATAATCTTAGATATCTTAATTCGTGCTTACAATATATTCCAATATATAAAACGATACGTCGATACGGGTTTTCCCAGCTCATATACTTTATTAGATTAATAACCACTTTCGCGCAGGCAGACCGAGCCGTCGATCGCCGTCTGTTCTTACCCCCAGACGATGGGTTTGCGTTCTGTTTCTGTGGTTGGCCGTGCACACCGTGTATACAGAGAATCATAAAAATTAAAAAATATTGCAGTTTTGCACAGTTTGCCTAGGAGTAATGCGCACCATGTTATTAACATGGTATGATGGAGTTACACCATTTAAGTTATCACGCCAATTAATACAAAAAGTATCAGATTTTATGTTCAATAATCGCTTAAATTTACCATTAGAGTTTGCAAGGAAGCCTCGTGAACTTAAGTATCTTTTGAGGTGGAAAGGAGTTGAATATCGAACTTTTCTGCTGTACCTTGGAGTAGTAGCTTTAAAAGGTGTTTTAGATGACAAAAAATACAATAATTTTTTAACATTGAATGTGGCAATGTCTATACTGCTTAATCCAAAAACATGTAACAATGAAGAAATGAGGGAATATGCAAGATCTCTTCTACAACATTTTGTGCAAACGTTTATGATTCTCTACAATGAAAGTTTTATAACTCAACATTTTCATGGGCTAATACATCTAGTTGATGATGCTGAACATTTTGCACCTATGATTGATGCATTTACACTAGACTCAATTTCTGCATTTCCGTTTGAAAATTGTCTTTAAAAATTTAAAAAATATGATTAGAGGGAAAAATAAACCACTGGAGCAAATTGGAAAACGACTAGCACAATTATTCTCTGACGATCATTTCTTTTCTTTCCAATCATTTCCATCTGGCAATTTTCCTAAATTATTAAATATGCATTGTAGTGGACCTCTACCTGTTAATTGTAGTGGGCCACAGTATAAAACGTTGTCATTTTCCGATTTTGTAATTAAAATAGAATCACCCAATAACTGCTGTGCCACGATAAGTGATGATATTGTAATGGTAGAAAATATATGTTTTTCTACTGAGTTACAATCTTCTGTAATTGTTGGAAGAAAATTTCTTGTAAAAAATAACTTTTTTACAGTACCCTGTGAAAGTTCTACTATTGGCATTTATAAAGTAGAAAAATTATTCAATCTAAAAATATGGCCTATTTCTAATGTTTGCATGAAGTATGTTGTTTTGCCTTACAAACATTTTTTTATTATTTTTCCTTTATTGCATTCATCATAGTATATTCACTTCTTTTCTTTTTTATGTGATCTGAATTATTATGTTACATATTTTATATATTACCTAAACTTAGATAACATAACCTTTACAATTACTACTTATTAAAATCAATGTATCTCGTATATACAATTCCTATGTTTATTTCATTATATAATACTCTTATAAGTTATAATTCTATTAATCTGCAGTTTCCATCTTCATCATTGAATTATAATAAAATATACCAGCTATCAATTATATTTTGTTTATTTTAAGGAGGTAATTTTAAGTTTTTGCTTTGAATATGTTTTATATTTCAAAATATGATATGAAATGTGGACATAATTTGTATTTTTTCTTTATTTTTTCTAAAGTATGTGGACATTAATATCCATTTACGAACCAGATGAGGAGCCAATGCCAGATTTAGTACCTACCGAATATTTGGTTAATTAATGATGTAAAATGTTGATACCTATTAAATTTTCGTATGTCAACAATCAAATCATTAACAAAGTCTCAAGCAAATCCAGATCCAAAAAATTGGGAACAACTAAAAATTGACATAATTGAAAGAGATATAAGTAAGAAATTAAGTATGAAATTAACAATGAATTATTTTATGTATCAATAACTGTAATTATCACATTTTTCATATCTAATTTTATTTTATTTGTTTATTTACAGATAACTATGATTATGGTTTAAAATTAATGTATAGAGCGGCGAAATACAATGAGTTGCATTCTGAAGCTGAACTAGAAAGAGGTAGAGGAATGAGACCAAAATTAAAAAAACGTAATTCGTTTGAAGACTTGGACCATGACTTTTCCACTAATAATGAGATTATAATTCAAAATGATTCAGCTGAAGATAATGTTACGATTCCTTACCCTAAATGCCCAAAAAAACTGAAAGTCAACAGTATGCATATTTAATATAATTCTATATGAACTAATCGGTGGATTTAAAATTATTTATGTACAGTATTTAGGTAATTTATTAAAAAATGTTATAGGTACACCACAACCAACTTGTTCAGACACATCAGAATCAAATATTTTGTACAGTACACCTAAGACAAGTGGCATTAGTAAGTATTTTTATTTACTTCTATCATCTGTCATTCAAGTTAGAATTTTTATTTTATTTATTTTAATTACCTATAGGTATGTATAATGGTGTTATTACAATAAATATATAATATATATCAGGTTAATATAATTATAAAATTGAGTTTTTGAAACATATAATTGTACAGATGCTTAGTTTAGATTCTATATTAAAACTACAAGCATACAAATGACATAGGGCTTTAGAAATATGCAATTGATTTATTATAGTTATCATTAGAGCAAGGACTTTCATGAACTAAAAAATCATCAAATATGCATTTAAAAATATGCAATTATGCATCTAAAACTTTAAATATAGTTAAATATGCCCTTAAAAAAAATGTATTTTATTATTATTATCACTATAAGTTTTAACTAGATTTCTTTTATTAAATTAATTTGGAATCTTATTATAATTTTTTTTTTTTTTTTGTTATTATAAAGGTGCAAGAACTGATGATGAAGAACATTTATCTCCAAACTTAGGAAACAGTTTGTATACAGCTGGTAATTTAAATATATTTTGCACTAGTTATAATGTATTAAAACCTTAGTCAGCTTAATAATTTATTTCGGGGAGGTGCTCAAACGGGAATGTTGAGATTTACGGTGGATATTTTTGTTTATAAATGGTTGCCATGGGTTTTAAAGCTATTATAATAATAATTATTCGTTGCCGTCATTCGTTAACACCATACACCGAATGTTAAATAACTAAATAACGAATTGAACAACGTTTGAGTCATATAGAATTTGTACATTTAACGGGAAACGAAGTGCGGAATAACTCGGGAAAATAATATTATTCGAAAATATTCACATCAATGGTCGTCGATAACAAAAAGGGAGGTAAGCGAGCGGCGACGTGAAATAATAGCGAACGCGCGGGAAGTATTATTATTGGTCGGCGATGCTTGGTTTTTTGATCCGGCCTGCGGCGGGAACGGGGGGTCGTCGGGTATTGTGTTTGTCGTGTTGGCAGCACTGGTTAAGCGGTAATTTTTGAACTCGGAAGAGTGTCTAGTCGTAAATCAGGCGATTCAAGTCGATCGTACGACACAGCCAGCCAGGTAGGCCATCCGAGGATCGCAGACGACGCCCCGGGCGTGTAAGTCCGGTTCAGGAGTGTGTGTGTGTTGAAATCGGAAATTCGGGTTATGAGTTTGAGTGTCTAGCTATCAGTCATCTCGGGTGAAAGACGATTCCCGAGTGTCGGATGCAGTGGGTGTGTAAGTCGCTCGTATGCAAGTAGATAGTCAGGTAGGCAATCCAACTACGTCGGATCGCAGACCATGCACCGGGCGTGTATGTCCGGTTCACGTATGTGTGTTGAAATCGGAAATTCGGATTCTGAGTTTGAGTGTCTAGCTATCAGTCATCTCGGGTGAAATTCGATTCCCGAACGGACAATCCGCCTACAGCGAAAAGTGCTCGAAACGGTCGTTCAAATATGAAAAAGCATACAGGAGGTAATAAAGTTGTATTTTTTGATAATTATAGAGAACAGTTATCAGGTGTTTTATGTTAGGCTTCACTGTAATCAATGTAATCATTGTTATGTTTTCGCGGTTACAACAAATAAGTTTTCTGATTGGATATTTTCTAAAATATACCTACCATGTATATTTATTTAATTATGAGAATTAAATCAAATTAACAAATTGATAATTATATTGGTGAATAACAAATTTTATTGAAATGTAATACTATCCTATTAAACGTAGGTATGTATAAATGAATACACTATACAATTTTTTGGCACTTATCTTCGTAAGTACCTACCTACTATCATAATATGTTGCTGTTATATTGTACGACGGTATATAATATATTATTTACCTACCTACCAATGTATTTAATGTCATATGATATTTATGATGTTTTTAATTATTTAGTAGGTAATTATAATTGCATAATTATAATGGTGCATCAGGGTTTGCGCTAATGTGCAATACAACACAAATTGTGCAGTTCTAAAATAAAATGTGCAGTTCTAAAACGCTAATTGTGCAGTACTTATTGCTAAATACCTATTTTAGCATTGTAAAGCAATAACTAATATACTATAGATAATAGTATAATATAGACCAAAACGATTTGTATTAAAGTTATAATAATTCATAATAATCAAATTATATTATCGAGACATTAGGACATCGTTGGCTACACAGCAAAACCTCGTAAGTCACTTTTATCAAATTGTAATGGAATTACGCAATATCATATATTTGCTCATAATAACAACCAGGAATGCGACCACACCCAAAAGTGTTTTCGACTACGAATACCACTTTCATAGTCGTGAGGTACATATCAAGGACGACTGTACACGCGCCGCTCACTTTCAAAGGACGCCGCCACCATATATATAGGGGACAGCGAGACAGCCTGAGTTAGATGTATCCAGAGACGAGAACACCACACGACTCGCTTAGCCGCCCAGCCATCACACACGACTTACACGGAGATTATCAACTTCGGAACGAGCTACAAATTCACTACAATCAACACTATTATTCTGCTTGTTTTGTCTGGTTTAATATAATACATTTGATTACCATTCTAATTGACTATTATTATTTATCAAGTACACCAGCTTTTGGATCCCTGAAGGGCCGCATGTAACAAAATTGTTCAGGAATAGCAAAGAACTGTGACGGGATTTATCACTAGAGTATGATGAACTATTGAATATAAGTAATATTTATGAACTTCGAAAAATGCATTTAAATCAAATAGTCTCAAAATTGTCTACATCAACAATACACTTTAAAAATATAACTATTTTATTAGCCAGAATATTAGCAGCTAAACCATACAGTACTGACGTAGAGCGTTTGATTAGTGCAAGCAATTTATTAAAATCTCCAATGCGTTCAAGAATGTCGTTAGAAACAGACAATATGTATTTATTCATTAATTATAACATGCCACCATTATATGATTGGAATCCAAAAGATTTGGTTTATTAAAAAAAAAAACAGAGTTATTATGAGAATAAAGGGGAAAAAACAAAATTATTTTAATGGACTATTTAAGGAAGCAGATGATAAACATATCTATGATAATTTAGGTTCAGATGATGATCATGAGGATGTTAAAAATAAAAAAATAAAATTGTCATTTGAAGCATAGGTAGTTGATCATTTTATTTTTTATTTTTAACATCTATAACTATAATATATTATAAGATATTTGATATTAATAAATATGTTTTGTTAATTTTTATTTATTTTTTCATTAATATTAGTTACCTAGTTTAAAACGTTTGAATATATTTTATTGATTTTAACATTTTTGAATTTTGTTTGAAATATAAAAATGTTTATAGGTAAATATTTTGTTCCAGAGCTAGATTACATTGTAGTGTAAGTTATATTTATTTTTATATTCATGTTGTATAAAATTTGAGCATGGTATTCTCTCATGCTAAAATGTGTATACAAGCCAAATTCAGGTACCTATCTACTTGTGCAGTTCTAAAATATTCTTAGCGCAAACCCTGTGGTGCATCACTGTGATATGACTTATGTATTATGTGTATGAAAGTGTGTATGAAAAAAATCGAACTTTTTGTCGCATATTTTCATTTCCGTACATAGTAATAACAACTGCACTGTCCGCTCCCCGATCTCCTCCACGGAACTCGACTCGAGCGTAGTACTGACGACGGCGGCTTATAAATTTAGCGGGGAATGCCAATAACATCCAAACAGGCAGGGTAATACCACTAAAACGGGCCAAGAAACGAATTTTAGAAAAAACAGCAAAAAACGACGCGACGCATGTATTTATTGCTGTATATAGCGATACTTAGGGATGTCATATCGAAAGATAGTATCGATACTTGTACTCATTACTTTAATCGATATCGATCATTTTATCGATAACAAATATCGATAAGAGTAAATATCGAATGAATTTAATTTTTTCATACAAACATATATTTTTTTCGGTTTTTCTCAGTCACAATTTCAAAAGTTTATGTGACCTCAGTTTGTGATCTTGTTATAAATTAAAGGGGCAAATATTATTTTGAAAAAAACTTATTTGGGCAAGATGTGACAATATTCATTTATAATTAATTTTTTTTTTCTAAATACTTCTATTTGTACCTAATATTTATCTATTGTGGATAAGTAATTTTTCTGAAAAACCAGTTCTGTTAGTAACCACAGCCGAAATTTTTTTTTTTTTTTTTTTTTTTTTTATCTACTCCTTTAAGCCTAAGCTTGTGATGGAGTAGAGAGTTACAATAGTTATAGAATAATAAAAGTAGTAATAAAGAAATAATAATATAAAGTAATTTAAAAAAGCAACATTAGATAAGATAAAATAAACAAAATTAAAAATTTTGGATAGGTACATCCTTTCTCAAAAGAAACAAAATTCCTTAATAAGTATATATAAATAAAATAAGAATAAGAATACAGAGTTAGTCGACAAACTATTTTGATCATAATAGACAGACCAGTTCACAATTACAATACAATTCAATAATATATAGGATACACAGAAGACATCATAATATATGAAATATAAGAGAGAAACGTGGCACAATTCAAATTTCGTTATTTAAAATTAGTACTTAATCTTATACATTTAATTTTTAATAAAACAAATCAGGAAAAAAATAAAAATAAAAATCATATTCACTGAAATCACTGAAATGCGAACTCTTATTCAAGGAGTAATTAATTCTGAGAATAGCCATTTATAGACGACTTTTTTCTCATTAACTAGACCTCCATGAATATTTTTTTTGTGTATAGTCGGCATCTGATTAAAATATGTAGGACCTAAATAATCAATAAAAGATTGACCAAAAGATTTTTTCGAATATGTCACTGGCAGATTATAGGCTATATGATCTCTTAAATGTCTGTTATTAATATTGAGATTAGTAAATTTTTTTATTGTAAATAAAATTGCATACTTCTTTTATAGGTACCTTATTGGAAGAACGCCTAATTTTATGTAATTCACTTTTGTAGAGCCTACTAGAGATTTTCTATTTAGTATTATTCTTAATATGTTATTTTGATTGGTTTGAAGAATTTTTAAAACATTTTCTTTTGCACCTCCCCATACCAAAATGCCATATTGACAGATGGATTGATAGAATGCAAAATAAATTGTACGTAAAGTTTCTACTGGTAAGATCTCTTTAAGTAAAATGAATTTGTGCAGTGAGTATCGCAGTTTCCCTACTAAATTATGGATATGTAAGTTCCACCTTAAATTATTGTCGAAAATAATACCCAGATAGCGAATTTTTGAAACTTGATTAATTTGCTTACAGTTTTGCATATTGCATATCAATTGATTTTGGCAATTGTGAATTATTAGAGGAAAGTTGTCATCGGTAATCTTATTTATTGAAAACTTCATGTACGTAGTTTTGTCTGAGTTTATAGTTAAGCCTAGTTCACTTATGCATTCGTATGTTAAATGTAGACCTTTCGTTGCTTTGAGGTACACCCCTTCCCAGCATTTATCCGAGAATAACAGACAGGTATCATCAGCGTAGGTCACTATTTTGCCATCAATGTTTAAATCACAAACTGCATTAATGTATAGTATGAACAAAATGGGACCTAGAACACTACCCTGTGGGACACCATATTCGATATAGTTTGTGTTGCTTATTGCATCATTTATTTTCACCATTTGTTGTCTGTTAGAAAGGTAGCTCTTAAACCAGAGGAGACTTTTATTATTAATTCCAAAATTTGGTAGAATTCTTAATAAGATATCATGTTGAATAGTATCGAAGGCCTTTGCTAAGTCAATGAAAATGGCAATTGTTTTTAAACCTTTATCTAGAGAGTCATACATAAATTGAGTGGCATTATATAAGGCATTTTCAGTGCTTAGTCCTGGTCGAAAACCGTATTGGCTTTTAGATAATAAATTGTTTTTCTCAAGGTAAGATAACAGCCTTGTTTTAATTATTTTCTCAAATATTTTGGAGAAATTTGTTAACATAGATATAGGTCTGTAGTTACTTATAGTTTTACGGTCGCCGCTCTTGAATAGAGGCTTAATAATTGCAAATTTAAACTTATCAGGAAAAATACTATTTTCTAGACTCAAATTGAAAATATAGACTAGTGGAGTAATAATTAATTCAGAAATACTTTTAAAAATTTTAACTGTTATATTATCATAACCGGCAGAAGTGTCATCTTTAAAGTTTTGAATAATTATTCTTAATTCTGATACATCAATTTTTTCTAGAAAGATCTTATCAAAGGAACATAATATATTATCGTTGGATTTATTTAATACCAGATTGTGAGTTTTATTGAAGTTTTTTGCTAAATTTTTACCAACGTCTGTAAAATAGTTATTAAACACATTTGACACTTCTTTAGGATTATCATCTATATTCAATATTTTGTCGTTCACTATTACAGATTTGATTTTATCATTATTATTTGGATTGCTACCCGTGATCTCATTGATTAGTTTCCAGGTTAATTTTGGGTTATACGACACTTTGCTAAATTTGTCTTCATAAAATTTAATTTTGGCAACCCTCAAAAGTTTAGTGAATGTATTTTTATATTTTTTATAGTATGACGCAAGACTTACATTATTTGGGTTTTTTTTGCACTTCATTGAAATATATTGTTTGTGACGAACTGAGCATAACAGACCCTTGGTCATCCATTCTTTCAATCTTTTATTTTTAGAGTTTATGTTTTTTGTTGTTAAGGATTTTTTTATGGCATTCATAATTGTATTTTGGAAATTTGTTGTGCATACATCTACAGAGTTAGATTCATATATCTTAGTCCATTTTTCATTATACAACATTTGTTTAAGTTTATCATAGTTTATGACATTGATAGTATTGATAATGTTTTTAATTTTAACAGGTATAGGAATTGTAACAACAATTGAACAATGGTCAGTTATATCAGTTAGTAGAACACCCGCGTTAATATTACCGAGTGAATTATTATTGTCTTTAATGAACACGTGATCTAAACACGAATGTTGTTGACCTAGTGGTAATCTTGTAAATACATTTATAAAAGAATAGAAACCAGTTTCTGATAAAAGGTCTAGGTAATCATAATTATTAACTGTTTGTGCACCAATTATGTTTATATTCATGTCCCCAATTAAGGTAATTATACCAGAATTCAAATTTAAATTATTGAAAACATATTTTAATGAATTAATGAAACCTATAAAGTCAGATGAGGGCGATCTGTATATACATACAATAGTTATAGGCACATTGTTGATTATCAGCGATAGTTTTACAATATTATATTCTAAAAAGTCATAGTCATAGAAATCCGCATTTAGATGATTTTTCACAAAAATTATTATACCATCATTTTGGTTTCTTTTTGTACTAGAGAATAATATACTGTAACCAGGTATCATATAGTGACAAAACAGTGAGTTATGCCACGTCTCAGTTAAAACTATAATATCAATTTTCTTATTATTTACATCATTTTCTAAAAATAAAAGCAGCTCGTCAAAATGCGCATTCACACTTCTTATGTTAAAACATATGATATTTAATAGAGATTCATTATTGTTATTTAAATATGAATTATATTCAGAGAACGACTCAAAATAATTAGTTCTATATTTAATACTATCAATCACATTATTAAATATATCCATGATAAGTAAATTAAAAACATATATACAAGATCGAAGTAGAAATTAAAGGAGATCTAATTTAAGTTGCTTAAGGAGCTTTCGTTTTCGATTAGAATTGCTTTTTGGTTAAAATAAATGATTACCTACTTTTGGGTTAGAAATTGTGCGTTATAGTCTGGTTTAACATAATTATTATTATAAAATATAAAAATATAAAACTATAAATCAATTTTTATAAATACAATATTATCATATTTAAATGCAAAATACAGATAATAATATAAGTTATATTTATGTTTTTTAGTCATAAAAGTCAGATTTTGATTTTCTCTATAAACTATGCACATTTTATGTTCATTGTAGACTATAGTACTTACTAAATAATTAGCAGTATTCTATTCAAAGCAAGTTTTGAGGTAGGTAGATAAATTTATTTTAGATTAACCCAATATACAGTTTTTGTAAATGGTATATATTATAAGTAATAGGTGCTATATAATACTGTAAAATAAAATAAAATATGTACAGAATCATTCATATTCATTATTTTATAACATATACTCATACTATATGTACTTAGTTTAAAAAAATATTTTTCTTATTTTCATTATACAGTTCAACATTTATTAAAATAATAATAAATAGGTACATATAGTAAATATAACAATGTTTATTGCAAATTTCAAAATAAATACCTACAACTTTCTATACTTATTTAATTTAAAAAAAATAATAATGTCTCCTTGAAATGACAAGTTAATAATGAAAAACTAATTAATACATTTTTAAAACCAGTCTTCTTCATTGAAACAACCTAGGAAAAGTAACTTTTCTAGACGTTTTCCTGTTAAACGGTTTCTAGTTTTTGTTATAGTAGCGCCTGCTTTGGAAAATAACCGTTCGCAAGGGACAGAAGTAGCAACCATTGCAAAATTAATTCTTGCTTGCTTATACAGTAAAGAAAAAATATTCTTTAGTTCTTCCCATTTTTCCAAGGGATTGGTTATCAATGGAACCACTGGATTTGTTAAATAAAGTGATAACTCATCATTTATAATTCCATCGGGTCTATTGGTTTTTTGACCGAGTGCTAATGACTCGTGGTGATTCCAAAAATTATATGTTTCCGTTGTAGGAGCGTCACATTCTCTCAATGTATCGGTTGTTGTAGTATCAACTAGATCATTATTCATCATTTTTCTTAGAGTTGACATTGCTTTTGAGCACGCATTTGCATCATGAAAATGTAAATTTTTAAATCTAGGGTCTAGTAGAGTAGAAATTGCAATTGAAGTGACCAACTCAATTGATCCAAAACGTTTATTAATTTCTCGTAGCAAAGTTACTTGTACATCAGATATACTATCAGTACTTGGTTTAATTTTATTTAATTGTGCGACAAGACAATTTATCATTGGTATAATTTTTGAAATGGTCACATACTTTTCACCTGAAGACTCTTTTGTTACATGTTCTAACGGTTTCAAGAGTCTAACTAATTGTTGAAGAGCCTCGATATCATAAGCAGACAACATGCTAGGTCCAGAACAATCTCTTAACAACATAGGACTAATCCAATCTACAATTTTAAGAAACCTCTCAATCATGTAGAAAGTTGAATTCCAACGTGTCTTAACATCGAGTATTCATTTTATAACAGAACCTTCTGGTATTCCAGTGTCCATTTGAGACTTTCTTAAACAATCACTATTTTTTACACTTCTCTTCACCCACTTGACTATTTCACGTACCATAGATATCAAATTATTCACACTTGAATGATTAACTGCTACTTCTACCACTAAGTTAATCGTATGTGCAAAACATGGTATGTGTCGACTTTTACCATCAATTTTTGTAAAAGTCTTGTTTTCTGCTGAGACCATATTGGAACCATTGTCTGTTACTATGGTTACCACATTATCCTTCTCTATTTCCCAGTCTTCTAATGTTTGATTAAGTATTTTTGAAATGTAATCACCTGTGTGTTGTTCTTTTAACTCAATAACCGATAGACAAAATGAATTCAAGAGTTTTTTCCAAAAAATGAATTGTTATTCCTAAAAAACTCTTTTCTTCCATGGTTTCGGTCCATACATCGAATGTTAATGATACATGCAAAACAACTGATAGTCTTACTTTGAGAGATTGCTTCATCACATCATACTTATTGTCCAAAAGTTGTTCTAATGTTGTAGCGCAAGGAATTTTGTATGATGGAGATAACTCTTTAAGGAGATGTTGGAATCCTTTTCCATCTATTACGTGAAATGGTCTTTTGTCCTTACAAATAAAATACAACAAAGACATTGTAATCTTTGAATGACGATACCCTCCTTCTAAAAAAATAAAATTGATTACTATTTAATTATTTTAAAAATAATGTACTATGTAGCTCAAAATTCCACGAAAAATACCACATGTAACAATAAGTAAATATTTTATGTATTTTAGTTACAATAGTCAAAAATTTTAAAATAATCTAAACTTCACAAAATAAATACAATAGGTACAATACTTGTTCAGTTTACATGTTATAATAATTCTATTAATCTTTTTTATTGTACAAGTAATAAATTACGCTTAAAATAAAATAAGTAAAACGGTTATTACTGAATAATAATAATTCAATAATTGTAGTTCTTAAAAGGTCAAACTGCTGTTAGAATGTACGCAATAAGCATAAAAAACGGCAGGTCATTTAGAAAATAATAAGTAGTTTGCAAATGGGCTACCCCATTGCAAAGAGCCTAATCTTTTTGTAAAACTAATTTTCCATAAATTATGGCCAACGACATATTATTTATTATCATACATTTAATAATTCAAGATACTAGCAATATAAAACTATTCATTAATAACAATATTATTAGTCATTATTCTTTTTTTTTTAATTTACCTTGGAAATGACTGGCTCTATTAAATGATTCCACTATTGGTCGTTTCACCACAAGTCTGGCTGGCAAAGGAGAATCAACCATTTCTTCCTAAATAAATAAACAAAAGTAATAATATATAAGTACTCTAGCTACTGTTCTATAATTTAATTAGTTTTTGTAGTGTGTTTAAAATTTTAAAATAGGTACCTCAAGTGTGTGACTTGATGCGATCTCACTCGATAAATTAGTAGAAGTATCACTATAATAAATAACATAAATATTTACAATTATGTAGTACGTTATATGGTCCTCAAGTATTCATCTTTATAAACTACCTGGATGTTGATGTTGAAGGTTCAATCAGTTCAGATAGATGGCGATTAAGTATTGCCTGTGATGAATCGATTTCAACAGTCACATTATCTACAGTTGTAGCTGTTAATGGTAGATTAGAATGTTTCTTTAGATGTTTAAAAAGATTAGACGTATTTCCTGAGTATTTAACAATATTTGAGCAAACTTTACAAATTGATTCTGAACCATTTATCTTTTTGAAGCAATTCCACGCTTTACTCCTAGGTGGTGACATACTGAAAACTGTAAAAAGGATTTTTTTACTTTATTTATTAAAGAAAAAGCAATATACAAAATAATGAGTATAAAAGTATAAAATTAAGTTTTAAATAGTAAGATAAATAATTACTAATTAGAACTTACCTGATGGTTAATAAAATTTAGTACACTGTAGCAGCCAGCAGGTACGGTCGTCAGTCAATTCTCTACAGATTACAATTTACGAACTTATGAGTATAAGAGTATTATGCATTTATGAGTTCATGACGGTCGGCAGAAGCCAGAAAAAGTGTTGAGTACAAAAATGAATAACAGTGATCAATGATAACATAGACAATATCATGGAAAACCCGTAGGCCTTACGAATCACATAATAATATGACATAATATAAATCTAAAAATAAATAATATAATATAACAACATTGCTACTATCATGGCTAAAAATATTTAGGTATGATTGCATTGAGACGCATTTTCGTTATGGGTTACGCACGTACAATTATTGCTCATTTTAGCATTGAAAGTAATCTCAGCTGGCAGTGATTTTTAGATTTATTTACCCATGAAATTAATAATTTGTATGTTTTGTTAACAAATAAATCGAAGTGATAATATTCACTGCCAGTGGCGGCCATAGCCCATGAATCATGATACTTGCGTATCACAAAGTTGCGATCATACCTATATATTAATTAACCATGACTACTACTATACGAATACGGAATAGGTACGGTAGTAATGGTTAACAAGGATCTAACATCATGTTGGTTGACGGGCTCGTTTCCTAAGTTGAGGGATCAGATCATAGATGAACGTAAACGTCGTAAACCCTATCGGCTATCAGCTGATCGAGGTTCTATTCTATATTATTCTACTATTTAGGGGGTTCGAGGACCCCTGATTCCGGGAGCATGTTTTAGAAGGGTCTAAACCGAAAATATTAAAATACTCAATACGCAAAAAAAAAATTTGGTAAGGCTAAAAAAAAATTTTATTTTAGAAAAAGCCGATTCGATACTAAGTATTTTCCACCGATACTAAGTAAATATTGAAATGAAAATATCGAATAAACAATGCTCAAATATCGAAAGAAAAGTATCGATACTTAATCATATCGATAGTATCGCAACGTCCCTAGCGATACTTACACGGTACCTAATCCCTTTTCCGCGACTCCACTCTTTCCCGGGACTCGTCTGTGAAAAAGTAGGGCCGCGCCCCGGCCTTAAATTTAGCGGGGAACGCGAATAAGATTCAAACGGGGAGGGTAATACGACCAAAAGGAGCTAAAACTCGAATTTTTGAAAAGAAATCGAACTCTTCGTCGCATATTATGTTCACGGCCATGTATAGTAATAAAGACACTGTCCGCTCTGCTAAATTATTTGACGGGGAACGCGAATAAGTCTTCAACGGGGAGGTCCGAAGTCAGTAGAGGCGTTAAAACTCGAATTTTGAAAAAAATCGGAACAAAAAAATGATAAGACGGAAGTGATAGCGAAACGACGAAAAAAAATCAATTTATCACGGCCGCCGCCAATTATCGTTAGTAGTATAGAAAAGAGAGATCAAAAGGCTGCCCCCCTGATCCTTGCTGACCATTGCTGCCCATTGCTGACCCCCCGATCCCATGATCCTTGCTCGTCATCGCCGCCCGATCGCGCACGTACACGACGTATATTTTACCCCACCCCGTCCTTGCTCGTCCCCGTCCCTTGCTAGTCATCACCGCCGCCCGATCGCGCACGTGCGTGATGTACATTTTACCCCACCCCGTCCTTGCTCATCTTTGCTCGTCATCGTATAGCGCGACCACGCCTATGCACTTGTCTATACCGACCGTATAAAATTTGGATGATGTTATTGTCGCCGTTGTTGATATAAACCGCTAGGAGCGCGACGCTCTGTTCGCCTTAATTTTCAAGTTCACCACCCGTTACGGAATACGGATTGACCATTAAAATAGTAAATTTGTCTCCTTCAAAATTAGAATACATTTTATAGTGTTGATTAAGTGAATTAAGTTGTTGATTTGTTAATTAAGAAGTTAATTTGTTCCGCGTGAAAAATGCCAGGACATCGCTGTATTGCCCCCGGTTGTAATTCCGGTTATGATTCTTGTAAAGAAAAATATCATTTTTTCACAGTTCCCAAGGATGATATTCGGTTGAACTCTGGCTTTTGGGTCTGGGAAAAAAAAGGCGAAAATATTTCTAAGTCCATATCACATCTATAATATTATCACTACAGCAATACTCTGCAGTGTTGCCATAATAATAATTTTATGTACCACAATAATAATTTTATACTACGTAATAATCACAAAAGTATTCCAAGTTCAAAATAATCAATTTATTCACTCGTTCATTTTTCAAAATATCGCTGCTCAAATTAAGTCCAAAATAATATTTCAAAAGTGTCAACTATAACGACCACCTAGGCTTTTGGATTTTTGATTTTTCCATTTTCCGACCGCTTTTCACGGACCTGGGAAACTGGGAAAAAATGTCGAAATATCGAAAAACGTCCAAGAGGTTTTTTATTCGTATACCGTATTAGAAAAACATCCGGTAGTCACATTTTTGATTTTTCCATTTTTCCACAGTTTTTCACGGACCCCCTTGGCTTTTGGGTCTGGGAAAAAATGTCGAAATATCGAAAAACGTCTAAGAGGTTTTATATTCGTATGCCGTTATAGAAAAATATCCTGTAGTCGGATTTTTCATTTTTCGATTTTCCGACCACTTTTCACGGACCCCCTTGGCTTTTGGGTCTGGGAAAAAATGTCGAAATATCGAAAAACGTCTAAGAGGTTTTATATTCGTATGCCGTTATAGAAAAATACCATGTAGTCGCATTTTTCATTTTTCCATTTTAAATTAATTATTTTTATTATTAAAACGTAATAACGTAACGTAACGTTATTCGTTACATAAAATATTCGTATTTGAATTGCATTCACCTTACTTGAAATTATTTTTATGACTAGTACGTTACTTTCCTTTTTCATTCAAAAAGTAGAGCTCCACAAATATCGTTAATTTTTAAAAACTAAAAATTACAACTGCCCACGAAATGTACATTATTTATTTTATTAAATAAATCAAACAACTATAATTATTGTTGTATTTAATAAATATATTGTTTATTTTAATTTCTTATATCATATTTTTTTAAATATATAATAATATATTTATTTAATATGATATAATCATAAGAACTTTAAAATGTGGTGGCCCTAAAAAGGGCCGTTTTAAATGAGTGCGCTAATCACGCAGCGGCGGATCGTCGAAGTTATCTGTGGAAATAAAAATTTAATATTATTGGTTTTTTATAGTTTATATGCACCTAGAGTGGAAATTTATCTTTGGAATTAAAAACAATATTATCGGGACATAATATTAACCTAGGTATACAAAATTATATTTCATAACATTTTTTTTACCAAGGTAGGTTAGGTTAGGTACCTCTAGCATTCTGGACAGTGACAATCGTCAATGTCCCGTTTCATTGGTTCGTATAAAATGCCCGGATATACCCTTGCAATGTCGTTCATAAACCTTTTGAAACGGTCGCTGGTTGTTGGAAGGTGGTTCAGTATATTGGTCCGATACATCCATTCGCCAATGTATGAATCTGCCACCCGCTTGCAATTGCATCTTGTCAAGATGCGTTTTAATTCCCTCCACGATCTTTCTATATGCTGCGTGTGGTAGCGGATTGGTTCTTGGTTTGGTGGCCGAACTCCTTCCCACTGCTTATCTAAGCACTCTTAGCTAAATCTGCCAGTCCCTACCCAAATTGGTGGCTCATTTTTTGGAGGCTCTACAAAGTTGATTGAATGGTTTACCACTCCATGACCACTAAAATGAATTAAAAATATCTGTTATATTAAAAAAAAATGTACTGTAGGTTTCAATCCTGAATATTATGTTTTTTTAAATTGTATTTGGTTATTATTTTAATAAATTTATTTTATTTATTTATTTTCATTTTTATAATACTATAATACTTATATATTACTTTATAATATTTACCTAAATACATTACCACATTGACCATAAGCCCTCCACATGTCACTACATATAAATGCATCATGATGAATGTATTTTTGCATCAGCGGAAGGAGCGTGTCAGTTGACCTGTCCGGGACTATAGTACCAAATACTTATTTGGTAGTACGACTTATACCACCTTAATCATTATATTACAAATTTCTGTATTTATTATCTCACAAATTATGATTTATGATCTTTTTTTTCAATTACCAAATAACCACACAGCATTCCATGCCATAACACGCCCGACGTTGTATTTAGCTCTGAACAAATGCGTCTCATCTACTTCCACGATATCGTGTTCATTGCCGATCATTAGGTAGTCGTGGTTCATTATTTTAGTGGCTACGTCCCTAAAATATTCAGTATAAGCAACCGCTGTTTCTGTAGATATATTCACCTAGTATTCAAAAACATATTTATTTATTTATTTAAATTCCGCGAAAATAAGTAAATAAATTACATTATTCACAAAAGTATTATCAAATTAAAAATAATAATAATAGTAAAATTATACAATAATAATAATTATTATAGTTATTGACATCGCGCGTTATATCATAAACGCAATTTCAATAAAAAAAAATATTTATTTCTTAGGTACCTATCTTTTGCTAGATTAGTTACAACTTACAAGTTATAAAATGTTTCTACTTGGTAATTATGTATTATAAAAATTAAAATGAATTTACCTCTCGTTGGATCGTTGCTGTGTCCGAACTAATTAACCACAAATAAATCATTTGCACTATTTTATTGCAGCCCAACTCTCCAGCAGTATGTACATACTCTAAAAAAGTATTTTTGGTTGGATTTATTTTATGGCCACCCGCGCATTTGAACCTGTAGCCGAGTTTCCGACTAGAATCATTAACTCGATACATTGGTCTTCCACATCGACATTCAGGCACATCAAAATCACTCGGAATTATGCCAAAATAGGTGAAGATAATTTCACCTTGCCTCCCAGATAAAATACGTTGCTCTTCAGTTATACTAGGTCCTAAAAAGGCACCCAATGCAAATACTGAGAAACAATCTGGTTGAAGCAACGTGTTAATATCCATAGTAGTATAGTATAATAATTAACAAAAGTACAAAACACTACTTTACGACTAGAAAACTAAAATCGAAATGACGACTTGAAGTGATTTCAGCGAATATACGCCCAAGACGGCTAATATTAAACACGTTGTTTTGACTGGATCTATCATGCACACCCGATAATTTTAATAATAAATTATAATGGTTAGTTGATAGTCTGTTCCTGGTAACTTGTACTATTAACGTATTTTATTACAACGTTTTAATAATAATAATTTCATTAAGACGACGTCAACCGATACGCTGCTACCAATCATGCAAAAATATAATATACACCACGATGCATTTATATGTATACTGATATGTGGCGAGGGTATGAGGATATGATCAATGTGGCAATGTATTTAGGTATATATTGCTATTAATATTATATTTGTAATTTAATGATTAAGCTGGTATAAGTCGTACTACTGACGATTGTCACTGTCCAGAATGCTAGAGGTACCTTTTTTAGGGCCACCACATTTGAAAGTTCTTATGATTACATCATATTAAATGAATATATTATTATATATTTAAAAAAATATGATATAAGAAATTAAAATAAACAATATATTTATTAAATACAACAATAATTATAGTTGTTTGATTTATTTAATAAAATAAATAATGTACATTTCGTGTGCAGTGAAAAACTGTGGAAAAATGGAAAAATCAAAAATGTGACTACCGGATGTTTTTCTATAACGGCATACGAATATAAAACCTCTTAGACGTTTTTCGATATTTCGACATTTTTTCCCAGACCCAAAAGCCAAGGGGGTCCGTTAAAAGTGGTCGGAAAATCGAAAAATGAAAAATCCGACTACAGGATATTTTTCTATAACGGCATACGAATATAAAACCTCTTAGACGTTTTTCGATATTTCGACATTTTTTCCCAGACCCAAAAGCCAAGGGGGTCCGTGAAAAGTGGTCGGAAAATCGAAAAATGAAAAATCCGACTGCAGGATATTTTTCTATAACGGCATACGAATATAAAACCTCTTAGACGTTTTTCGATATTTCGACATTTTTTCCCAGACCCAAAAGCCAAGGGGGTCCGTGAAAAGTGGTCGGAAAATCGAAAAATGAAAAATCCGACTACAGGATATTTTTCTATAACGGCATACGAATATAAAACCTCTTGGACGTTTTTCGATATTTCGACATTTTTTCCCAGTTTCCCAGGTCCGTGAAAAGCGGTCGGAAAATGGAAAAATCAAAAATCCAAAAGCCTAGGTGGTCGTTATAGTTGACACTTTTGAAATATTATTTTGGACTTAATTTGAGCAGCGATATTTTGAAAAATGAACGAGTGAATAAATTGATTATTTTGAACTTAGAATACTTTTGTGATTATTACGTAGTATAAAATTATTATTGTGGTACATAAAATTATTATTATGGCAACACTGCAGAGTATTGCTGTAGTGATAATATTATAGATGTGATATGGACTTAGAAATATTTTCGCGTTTTTTTTCCCAGACCCAAAAGCCAGAGTTCAACCTGATATTCAATTACGAGAATGGACAAAAGCAATTCCGAGGAAAGACTTTTTAATAAAACCTCGTCAGGTTGTTTGTGAACGGCATTTCCACGAAGAAGACATTTTAAGGAAACGAATAATGACTGACAAAGATGGGACAATTTTAGCTGAGGTATGTTTTCTATGTCTATTAGGTATAAATAGGTACCCTACCTATTGACTAATTTAATATTTACTTATAAGCACAATCTAATTAAAACAAATACAAATTCAATTGCATTAAGTAAAAATATGAAATGTATAGCAATTGTATTTCCTTGTTATTCTAAAACACCAAACATATTTAGATCATTGTAATTGTTACCATTAGGCACCAGCCAGTACTTTTAGTAATTAATAAATATACATATTATTTTAGAAATTAATAATTATCATTTTTCAACAGGCTGTATATAAAATTCCGAAATTAAAAGAAGGAGCTATACCGTCAATATTTCCAAACTGTCCAAAATACCTATCCTACTCTTTAAAATGAAGGAAATTACCGTTAATTAGAAGTAGCTCACCTAAAAAAAAGAAAACCGACAAAAAAAAAGACCCACAAATGGATTGTGCATTCAATTCTAAACCGTCAATAGAAATTGCTATTACTGATTCTATTAATGATTCAGTAGGGATTTTCTCATTCTCTAAACTTCAAGAAAATTTTAACAGCATTGTTTTTCCAAGTGGATGGAGCAGGCATGACATTCCTGTAAAGTTGATAATGTTTTCTTTTTTTTATTGTTAAAACAGAAGAAACAGCAAATACAGAAAATTATATTCCCACTCCTATTTTATATAAAAGAGTATGCTTAGGAGTAAATTTAAATGTTCAATGTTTTGTTATGAATATATCAGTTAATAATGACCTTTTTGGATTAAATAGATTAAATTGTATTAAAGACTTAGAAGATATTTAAAAAAAATTTGATACTAGTGTCATTTGTAAAGGATATAAATTAAAAGAACAACTTCTACATTCTAAAACAACATTTACAGATCCGGCTGGTAATATTAGACATATCATGTGTCCACTCATCTTGAACCAAAATAATGACTGTAAATATTGTAACAAAGCTATACGGACTATTATGCGCAAAAGGCTCCGTTTACAAAAAAATAATTCTACTCCAAAGAGAATTCATATTTTATCTAGTCCCAAAGTACAACAACTTCGTAAAAATCACAAATTAACATTGCAAAGGAAATATCGAGCTGTAATACTCAATAAAAAGCTAAAAAATAAATTATTTAATATGCAAGGTGAAATGTCAAAACTGACCACAATGAATCTTGAAGAAAGGCTAACAACTAATAAGATACCTACTTATCAACGGGTTGCCTTACATGAAATTTTGTCCGCATCACAAGTCCTCAATTTAAAAGGTCGCGGATATTCCGAAGATTGGATCCTTTTATGTTTACTATTTCATATGCGTTCACCATGTGGCTATAATTTTGTTAGAAATAATGACATTATGCCATTACCTTGTGTAAGGACCATAAGAAGGTAATATAATAATATTACTTGTTTAAACATTTTTATAAATTAAAATCATGTTTAAGGTACCTATCATCTATCGATACACAATGTGGGTTTGATCCAAAATTTCTACAGATGTTTTCTCTTTATATGGCACAAAAAGAAGAATTTCAACGCCATGGTTTGCTCGTGTTTGATGAAATTTCCACTCGCGAGAGTATTGCAGTTAACTCGGCAAATCTTACATATACAGGTAAACAATGAAACACAGATAAAATTGGTATTTTCTCATATTTTCTCATATTATTGAATACCTTACAGGTCTAGTCGATTTTGGTGAAGAATGTGAGAAAGGAAAAACTTTCAGTGATAAAGCAAATCATGGATTAGTATTTATGTTCATACCATTAGAAGATAATTATGCCCAACCCGTTGGTGTTTTTGCATCAAAGGGACCGACTAAAGGTGTAGTACTAACTGAGTTAGTAATAAAAGCTATCACAGTACTCGAAAAAGCAGGAGCGTTTATCCATGGAATTGTATGTGACGGGGCAGCCCCAAATCGAAAATTTTGGAGCGAAATGGGAATAGGTGGAAAAATTAATAAAGTTAAAAATTGGTTTGAGCACCCAACAGATGAAAAACGGAAAATATTTGTGTTCTCTGATACGCCACATTTATTTAAGAATATCAGAAATAGGCTCTATAATAATAAAGAGCTCAAGGTTTGTTGTTTTGTTGATATATTTTAATATCTAAGAGCAAATTCCACTAAAAATAAGTATTATAATTCTCAACCTCCAACACAAGCTTTATTGCTTACAGGAGGTTGATAACCCATATATTTATTACTGACAAAATGTTAAAATATGTTAAGTATATAATAAATGGTTCTTATTCAAAAAAAAAAAAAATTTAGTTTATATAACTATATATTGCAATACTTAAAAGTTAAAAATAACAATGGCCGGTCTATGTTGGTTATTAGAAATTTAATTTAATTTATTCATACCAATATCTAAATAGATTTTTAATTTCAAACATTATAGTAAACTGACCAGTAGTGGAATTTAATGATGAGAATATTTCAAAATGAATTTTGAAATCCATGTTTTTTTTAAAATTAAAGTTAAAAACTATAGATTCACTATGAACATTTTTAATTATCTTCAATGTCAGATAAAGGGAACAAAATATATTAAAAAGTAACCAGAATTCAAATTTTTAGATTCATGAAAATGAACCACCAGTAAAATGGGATCATTTTGTAAATGTTTACAATTTGGATAAACTGAATCCTGGGAATTTAAAAGTTTGTCCTAAATTATCTGCATCTCATATAGTTTTGAACAGTTCTGCAAAAATGCGTGTTCGTCTTGCTGTGCAGGTAGCATTATTATTCATTATTTTATTTTTATAGACATTTATTCTTTTAACTAATAATGATTATTTTATGTTATAGATTCTTAGTAACTCAATGGCAAAGAGTCTTGAGTTTTATCGCTCTTATAGTCCTCAGTTAAGCGATTCTACAGCAACTGAGAATTTTTGCTTGAAAATGAATGCAGCGTTTGATGCATTAAATCGAAAGCTAAAGAATGAAGGAGTGTCGCCAAATAGTGATGATTATAAAGTAAAATAATTAATATTTTTTTTTTATATCAAAATGATAATAATTGGTAATACATTTACTGTGAATGATTCAAAAAATATATTTTTTTCAGGTACAATTTTAATAAAATTAATATCAATAATTTTTAAATAAAACAAATCAGCTATAATATATTAAAATATCTAAATATTGAATAACCCATGATATAATCTCAAATATACAAAAACAACTTTTACAGTGATATGATATCTATGGCAATTTGCATTGATATTTAATGTTTTAAGTTACCATTAAACATTTAAAAAGTTAGTAAAATCTATATGCCCATTTAACTACCTTTTTAATTTTAATTTTAAATCAGCCATCAATGGATCGGATCTACCTTAAACCGTAAAAAATGTGTAAGCAAAATTAATATAATTTTAATAATAATTGTATTGTTTCGGAGGAGCATATTTTCCTCTAATAATGGCTTTATGCTTAAAATTAGTTTACTTTGGTGATAACTAATTGCTTGATTATTAAATAAGTTTAATAAGGTCTTATATTTATTTAACAATTAATGAGTTGCATTTTAATCATGATCTTTATTCTATACAACCAGGTATAGGTAATTTAACTATATGCAGTTTGCTTGCTTGAGTACCAACAGCTTATACAATCCTAGCAAATTATTAATTTAAATTGGCGTTTGGTGTTGATTTGCATTAGCTAAAATGCTTAAAATATTTTTATTCAATAGAATTAAACTATTTTGATGTTATTTTGCAGATTTTACAAAATACTCTGGAGTGGTTGAATGAATGGGAACAGCGTGTTATTGATAACAAAATAAAGCCAAAACACTTTCTTACCAATAATACTTCAGAAGGGCTAAGGGTAACTTTGACTTCCACTTTAGAAATTTGCACTTACTTAAAAAAAAATATGGTATACAATACATTCTTACTGGAAAAATTAATCAAGATGATGTGGAAGTAAGAAAAATATAATATACTAAATTATGACCATTATTAAAGTTTAAATTATTACCTATTTAGCGTTTTTTTGGTACAATTTGCCAAGCAGGAGGTGCAAATGACCATCCAGCTACTCCAACCTTTTTACAATTATACAAAATGTTATCCGTTTACTGCGTATTGAAACCTCCCAAATCAGGAAACTGCACCATAGAAAATAATAAACCTTCTCAAAATTTAATCTCTCTTGATAGTATCAAAACAATTTATTATAATCCGGAAAAAAACAAACCATTATTACATTCGATCCGTGAAAAATTGGACTTTGCAATTCAACATGATGACTGGAGTTTAGATGATATAATAAAACCCAGTGATCATAATTATTTTGTAGCTCCTGTAATCGATTGTGTAATATATTATGTCACAGGGTATTTGTGTAAACAAATTTTACGGTATTTTAAATGTGTGACATGTCAATCTGCAATCAAACAAAATATTAATTTGTGTTCATATGAACCGGTTGCACGGCTAGTTAACTTAAAGTCCAAAGGAGGCTTAATACACCCAAATATTAATTTTTTTAATTTTATATGCAAAATTGAACAGTTGTTTTCCAAGTATTGTGAAATGGCAGACGTTTTAGAGCTAATACTCACCGAACTGTTAGAAGACACTCTTTATTTTCCTTGTTTTCAACACAGTGAAGAAATAATAGCTTTTACTATCAAATATTATATAAATATGAGAATGCGACAGTTTTCGCAAAGCTATAATTCCGAAGCACAAAAAGAAAATATGAACAAAAAGAAGATAGCAAAATTCACATTAACATAAAAATTGTTAAATATATAAAAAAAAAGTTGTATTTTGTGTATGTTTTTATTATAATATTATTATTATATTAATATACTATCTGTATAATATATAATACCTATGATATTATTTATGTAATTATGTTTTCATATTAACACTAGTTAAAAAGTATCAAACAGAATTATTTTTTTATTTTTTTTATTGAACAAAATTTTATTTACAATCTGTAATTACAATATAATATTATATAACAATGAGTAAATTTGATTGGGTGGATAAGCGGGAGGGGGGAAATCACCCATTGGTAACACCCCAATCAACAGAATTCTTATGTATGAAAAGTATAATTCATAATATAGTAGGTACATTTTACAGTAATTTATAATTTTTATTGTAATCAATTTTAGTATTATGAGTACAAGACAGGAGTTATATTTACGAAAACCTCACGGGCGAACGCATGCGTAGCGCTCCTAGCGGATTATTAATGAACTGGCGACAATAAGCGAATCACACCAGTCTAGCAGTAGCCAGTCCTTAACAGTATATATTGTTCATGAGCGCGACAACACAGAGTCTCTTATCTAACAGTCATATGAATTATTGTGCACACCATATTTTTGTGTATATTATCGTGCATATTATTGTAAACTTTTTTTCATTAAATAAATATTGAAAAAAAAGATTGGTGAGATTCGAACCCTCGACCCCCGAGCTACAGCACTGACGCTTTGACCCACTAGGCCACAGACCTGATTTACTAATCCTTTGATTCTTAACGTATATAGCTGTATGAATATTATTGTATACACTTCGATGTAATAACTGTATCCTAACTATTCTTCAGCAAGGAGACTATACATGTACACCCCTTTGTATATTTTATACAGGCAACGACGTGTGTGTCCCGACATACCCTATCTATTGTATCATTCTTCAACAAGGATTGAGACTGAACATGTTCACCCTCCTTTGTATATTTTAAACCTTAAATTTTTGTCGCCATAACGTTCTATAGCGAGACATGTGTTAGACATACCCTATCTATTGTTAACATTCATCAACAACACTATACATGTGGTTTATGCCCAGTTCGCCGACACCCAATTCGCCGACACCCGGTTTTTGATCAAAAAACCAGTTTTTAATGGTTTTTAAAAAAAGCCCAATTCGCCGACAAATGATATTGACGACATGCTTTGTTGCATTGCAATAAAACTATAATAGGTACCTACTATCATAATCTGTAAATTTATTTTATCGTGCACGATGAGTAGGTATAAGAACAGGTACCTATCGGCTATGATATCGGCAAAGTTATGATATCTGTAAACATATTTAATGATGAGTATAAGATATAGTATCACAATCACATGATAATTTATTGACATCCATTTATATAACATATTGTAAGTCCACTGGGGTTTTCAAATATTGAACATGATTTTATTTAGTAGTTTTATTTCACTGCATGAGGTAGGTACTGCAATTTACTACACATATTACTAGTTATTAAATTTTTTTCCTCCCATTATGGAATGGTTTAAATTTAAGTCGGAAAAAAATCAGAACTTTCTTGTAGTGGACAAATATTTACATAGAATTGACCGGATACGTGGAGACAACGAATATTATAAATGTATAGATAATTGCGGCGGCCGTGCAATATTAAGACAATCAACAGTCATAGTTACCTATGTCTAAGTCACACAGGCAGTCGCACGATTAATCATTTGGAAGGATGGCACGCAGCTTTAAATCGAGCAGTTAACCGTCACAGGCCTAATATTTATACTCTTATAAATGAGATCAAAAACCAACAGCAGAACTTTGAATTGGATATTTCATCGCAAAGTAGGGGAAATCCAAAACCCAAACCAAGTTTAAAATTTCGTAAGCTCGAGGAACAGTTGAAAAATGTTAAAAAAAGGTAAGCAAAATATTTATTTTATGCAACAAACTATTATGACTATTTAAAATAATGTGTAGAAAAATGGATACCATATTTATATCTATCTATATTTTAAATACATAATTATATTTTACTATTTCAGGTTAAGAGAAAACTAAATTACTCTAATTGAGTATATTGACACCATAAAATATCATATTCGCATTTAACAATTTTTATTTTTATTTATACTTTTTATTATATGATGACTATGTAATATATTTACTATTTTATATTTTTGTATTATATGTTATTTATATATTTTTATAACTGAACTGTACTTTTTCAAATTGGGTGTTGTCAAATTGAGTGTCGGCGAACTGGGTTTCGGCGAACTGGGTGTCGGCGAATTGGGTGTCGGCGAACTGGGAATACACCATACATGTATACCCCTTTGTATATTTTAATTTTAAGCCTTGTCCACCTGCACCTTTTACGGTTCTAGGTATGTTAGTAGCTATAAGGTCTCTTCAAGCGCTGGATTTAAATCTATTGGTATACATCTCCTATTGTCAGCGGAGCGACCTGTTTCGTCCGGTCTGTTGTCAACATGCACATGTGAATTCCTGGAAATTGCACTGATAAACGATGGTTCCTAAAATAATTGGTAATAACTAGTGATGTACACTTTTATCATAGTAAATACCCGATTAATATTTTGATAACCCGTGGCTTGAAATGTCACCCTCACCAAAAATGCCGAGATTTCTGGACACTCGCTCCGTTGTCCGCCAAGACATACCCAGTCTGTTCCAGACACCCATACCTTTACGTTTACTTTGCCTTTGCTGTTTCCGTGTTTTCATAGCCCTCACAATTCGCTTTACGTACTCTGTTTAATTTTCACTCCGTGTTTAATTTTTGCAAGTGTTTAAACACTATATTCTTTTCGTTTGTTTTCATTTCAAACATTTCAAACATTTTAAACATGTTTAAATGCGTTCAGTGCCCGTCGGTGTTCGTGCGTAAATCCAGTTTAATCGCGCATCAAAATAAGCATGCAGGTGTACGTTTTCCATGTTCCGATTGCCCTTCAACATTTTCATCCAACTCACATCTTATTAGACATTTGAAGAACATTCATGGTATGTATTAATAATACAAAGTTTTATTTCTATCTTATACAATATTAATTTATTATTTTTCCTAAGGTATCGTCAACGTTCCGGCTCATTTGAGACCGTTGACACCCATCATCACTCAACCTGATCCAACTCAACAGGTTCAGATTACGCCGCAAATATTTGTACCCGATGTCCCGGCCGGTGGATCGAATGCGGTATCCGACGACGATATAATATGTATGAACGCAATGGATGAATTTGAGGATACAGGTTAGTTTTATTTATAAGAATTAGATTTTTAAAAGACCCGCTGATTTTAACGGATCATTTTTTAAAAAGATAAACTAACAAGTATTATTGCTCGACCAATTAGATTTTTAAAAATAATTGTCGTTAAATAGATTTTTAAAATTCAACAAATTATCGTACAACACTTAATCAATTACTTAGATTTAAATATAAATTCTATTTTTTTTTTTTTTATTTTAAACTTATCAAAAGGTCTGTGAAACGATCAATGGTATAATAGTTGGAGTATTCCGGCATTATATCGATCAATTCACACGTCGCATCCTATGGGGTAATAGTTGGAGTATTCCGGCATTGCACCGGTTGTCAGATCGTTTGGTAGATTTAATTTTTTCAACACGATTTTTATTATATGTCAACATTTTTTATAACTTCGTAGTTATATCGGTAGATTTTTTTCTATTTTTTAAGATTCGTGAGGTTAATTAGATTTCTAATAGATTAGTCAATTTATTATTTTCATTAGATATTAATATTAGATTTTTTTATTTTTAAAGATTCTTACACCGTTGCCGTCAACGGGAAACCCGTTTCTACTGCCAATACCGCCTCGGCTGCTAACGCTAAAAAGACTAGGATGGATATGGCGAAGGCTCCCGGGTTCGTAGAAATTTTATCGTCCGCAAATAGAAAAATAGTTTGGTACTATGCTAAAAATATCGGCAATACAACGATTTATTCCGACTTTATCCGACCACTTATACCTGAACTAGTAATTTTATTAAAGACCTCCGTACAAAAACATTCTATTAAATTCAACCTGAAGCTCGAAGCTACGTACAACCGGCCCAACGTCCCCAATTCGTCGGAGAACCGGGCCTTGAAAACAGTGGCGACAGAAATTTACCCTGACAGCGATATAAGAACTATTGTAGAGAGAGCGTACATGAAGTTGGTTCAGGAGAAAGACGATTACATCGGGAGAGGAAGCGGTTTCGTCCTAGAGTCGATAGACGGACTATTAAAAGGAGTGTATAAATATATGCCGATGGGTGGATCGTCATTTTGATCGTCCAACGTCACCCGATGAAAACTGTAGCCAACAACAGTGGTTCGACGAAAATGATGGGCCTGATTTTTTCAATTCAAGCCATACATATTCTCAATTCAAGACACCACAGTCATCTCAACCAACTTGTGTTGAACCCCATGCACCGTTGCGTAAAGTAAAACGTAGACTATTCTAATAATTGATGTAAAATAAATAATTTATGTAAAAAATAAAAAAAAAAGACGTGATATATAAAAAAAAGTTTTTTCATTTATTAATATTAAGGTTTGCAATAAATATTAAGATTTACAGTAAAATATTAAGGCTTACAATAAATATTTACAAGGCTCTTACTTCTCCATTAAATGGATTATAAGTAATAATTTGGTCATTTTACAGGGAAGTTTCATCAGATTAAGCGGGCATTTCTACATGTTCCACCGTGTAACACAACATTTCAAAAAGTATTATTATTTATTACATACATTATAACAAACACCTAAACATACTATAAAACTTACATATTATTGTATTATATATAATCATTTATTCCCATACATGGCACATATATACAGCATTCATACATAAATAGGTACTTTCATATTATATACACCATCACACACATCTAATCTTGTTGTACAACTTACATATCAATAAAAGACACTTCGTTACATATAGACACACTCACACATGAAATACATACTTT